ACCAGTTACTAGAGCCAGAGGAGATTCAAAGCAACTTTCTCAGCTTTCAAGTTATATTGAACAAGTTTATATCAAACAATATTATGTAATTCAATTCCAGTAGAAGCAACAGAACTTGTAACATCGGAATCTGCATCATTGCATGGTTTAGATTGTCCCAAACTAATTTAGGACAGAAATGGTAATGACCAAAAGGACAGTTTCTTTCACTGAAGTGCTTGAGACATCCATAAGTGGCAAATGTAGGCCATTTAGCCCGTTAAATCTGTGTCATCAATGAGATCATAATTGTTCTGATAATCCTCAACTTTTTTTTTTGCTTTTGCCCCACAACCGTTCATTCCCTCGCTGGAAAAAAAAAATTGTCCATTGCAGCCTTGAATACACTTAGTCAGGCAGCCTCAAAAGCCCTCTGCTTTAATGTATGAGACAGATACACTACTTAGAAGAAATTCCTCAGTCTTAAGTAGAGATCCCTTATTCCAAATTATGCCCTCTGGTCCTAGCCTCTCAAGGGAAAATTAATCTTTCCATGTCTACCTTAAGTCTAAGAATCTTGACTGTTTCAAGAAGATCACCACTCATTCTTCTTTATTTCAAGTATAGGACCAACATACTGAATGTCTCCTTCCAAGAGAGTCCCTCCATACCTGTAATCAGCTTAAATGAACCTTCTCTGGACTGCATCCAAAAGGCAGTACATCCTTCCCTAGGAATGGGACCCAAAACAGTTTATAGTAACCCTGTTGTGGTCTGACTAGTGCCTTGTATAGTTTTGGCAACCTGACCTTTTATATCCCATTCCTTTTGAAGGCCAACATCCAACTAGTCTTCCTTATTACCGGAATTTGGATTTTAGCTTTGAGTCATCCAGTTGTCCTGAAAGCGCAAAGAAAATTTTGCATTTTATTTTTGAATATGGACAGCAGGTAATCATATAGAAGAAAAAGAAATAACTTTTTGGCATGGACAGAAGAAATTGAGAGGGCCTCTACCACCTTAACATTATCAGAAGCAAGAGCTGAATCATCTATTAAAAAGGGAGCTTGTGCTCCACTCAATATTTTCCTCTAAACTCAGAGGTTCATATTAGCACCAGAAATCCTTCTAATCATGAAATCAAGTGAAACTTAAATACTCATTAAAAAAAGAAGTTATACAGCAATATACCATGGGTGACTTGCATCTTCACTCAGATTATAGTAGTCAGAATGGCAGAGGTAACCATGAGAAAGAATTAGTGTTTTCAGGAAAGTTTCCTAGAATCTTGGGGATCCAACCAAGGATTAGGCTATTTTGAATCTGGTCATGTGTTATGAGGCAAGTTTAATAAAATGTCAATAAAAGTTCAGCTTGGAAACAGTGACCATAATATGGCAGAGGGGGAAGAACTTGGGTCAGAAACAACTGTGCTAAACCTAAACATGGGTAATTACAAACAAGAGTACAGCTGACAAATGGGTTGGAAAAGGAGTTTAATAGCAATACAGTTAAGAAAAAATGGCAGATGTTTAAGAAAATAGTTCTGGCACAAAGGAAGATACATCAGCCAACGTTAATAAGGATGGCAGAAAATTAAAAGAGGAACATGAGGATATAGACAGGCTGATGCACTTGGGCAGGACAAACGAGGTAAGGGAATTATATAGTGAATGGTAGGTCACTGAGAAGCACAAAACAGTGGGACCTTGGTGAACACGTACACTGGTCTCTTATAAAGGGCACACGGTATTTTATTTTATGTCACGACAGTTTTACATCAAGGATGTCATGCTGGAATTGTACAAAAAGTTGGTCAGGCTACGTTTAGAGTACAGAGTGCTCTAGAATCTACTTTATGGAAGGGATGAGATAGCACTGCAAAAGGTGCAGGAGACTGACCAGGATGTTACCTGGACTAGAATGTTTCAGCTACGGAGAGAGATAAGACAGAGTGAGGTTAGTTTCCCTAGAGAAGAGGGGATTGAAAAGGGGGCATTATTAAGATGCATAAAAATTATGAAGGGCACAGAAAGGCTAGACATGAAGAAACTTTTCCCCTTGGTAGAGGGGGAAGTGACAAAGAGGCACTGATTTAAAGAAGAGGTTGGAGGAAATATAAAGAGCCTTTTTCAGAACATAGTGGGAAACTCTGCCTGTTTTTAAAAACATGGCAGAGGCAGAAACCCTTACAACGTTTGAGTATTTAGATGCACACTTACAACATCAAGGTTATAGGCTAAGTGCTGGAAAAACAGGATTGGAATAGATGGGCAATTGTTTTTTGATCACTGCAGACATGGGCCAAAGGGGGTTTTTCCTCTGTTGTAGATCTATGACAATGTGACAAAAAAGTGGTAAACTAGAGGATTGGGAAAAATGAAAAAAAAAACAAACAAACAGCTTTGAGGGTAGACTTTCAACTAACAAAATGACTACAAAAGCTTTTCTCTCTTTTTTTAAAGAAACTTAAGTGAATAAGCTGCTTAGAGAACCAGAAAACGGCAAAGGAATTGTAAAGAAATACTTTACATCAGTCTTTAGAGAAGGCAGCATTAATAGCATGCCAAAATTACTAAATCATAGGGCAAAAAGGAAGAGAAGAAATAAATACAATGACCATCATTAGAAAAATAAGTTAGTGTTAGGGTAACTACTGGGGCTAAAGATTGATGGCCACTTTCAAGTGCAAGGAGAAACAGGTAATATACGCTGGCCCGGTCAGTAATGTTGACATCCCATGAATGAAAGGAAACTATAGAGATAGTGGGTGCACTAGTGGTAATATTCAAGAATCCTCAAAATTTGAAAAAGTTCTAGAGGATTGGTGAACTGCTCATACAACACTAAGAAAAAAAAAGTGACCCAAAGAACAGATTATAGGCCAGTTAGTATGACATCTTTCAAGAAATTGTTTATCTACAAGGATGTAGTAGCATAGCATTTAGAAATACACAATATGGTCAAGCAGAATCAGCATGGCTTCACGAAGGAAAAAAAATCACGATTAACAAATTTACTAGAATTCTTTGAGGTGGCACCAAGCAGAATCGATAAAAAGGGGAAGCTGTGGATATAATATCTTTAGATTTTCAGGAGGCATTTCTGAAGGAACCACAATAGGCTACTTAAGAGCCCACAGCGTTGCCAGAAGCAAGTTAGCGTGGATAGAGGATTAGTTAACAGAGTTGGGACTTGGGCAGAAATTGCTGGCAAAGCTCAGGTCTGGCAATATCTGTGGTGATAAATCAGTTAATGCTTTGGGTCAAATGACTCTTCCTCAGAGCTGGTGGTAGCTAGGAAATATTGGTTTATGTGCAGGGGAGAAGGGTGTGAGGAGTAAGTGATAGGTGGGGATAAAGCCCAAACAGAAGAGGAGATGGACGAGAGGGTAGGTGAGGACAAGGAGGTGCTTATCACTGTCGTGGGAGGGAAGAGAAAGGGTGAGGGCCAAAGTGCACGAGAAGGGTTGGACCCGGCTGGGAGCCTCCAAAATGTCCACCTCCTTCCTCAAGGAAGGATTCTCCAGCACGGTTGACAGTGCCCTCAGCTAGGTCCAATCCAACTCCTGCACTTCAGCCCTCACCCTTCCTCCCTCCTGCAAAAGGGTTCCCCCCCCTTGTCCTCACCTACCATCCCACCACCAACCACAAATCAAGAATCATTAGTTGCCATTTCCACCACCTGCAGCGAGATGCCACAACCAGACATTTCCCTTTCCCTCGTCAGCCTTCTGCAGAGACTGCTCCCTCAAGGACACCCTGACCCACTCTTCCTTCACTCCCAACACTATTCTCCCAACCTCCACAGCCTCATGGCACCCTCCCCCGCAACCGCAGAAGGGTTGACACTTGTCCATTTACTTCCTCCAGCCTCAGCACTTTACCACATTAGTCTACTGCATTTGCTGCTCACAGATTGCATGAAGTCCAGTCATTCTCTACGTTGGGGGAAAAAAGCCTAGACTGGGTGAACATTTTGCAGAACACCTATGTTCTGTCTACAGAAGATCCAGAGCTTCCAGTTGCCTGACACTTCAACACACCACCCCTGTTCCCTGGCAAATATTTGTCTCAAGTTGGCTGCAGTGCTCCAGCAAAGCTCAGCGCAAGCCAGAAGAACAGCACCTCATTTTCCATTTGAGCACCCTGCAGCCTTCTGGACTTAAGTTTAACAACTTAGGGCTTGAGCTCTCCCACATCCTTACTCCAAATGCCACACACCAGGCCTTATCAGTCTGCTTTTTACATACTACCCACTGCTGGCCACTAACAGTCCCCATTAATTTCTATTCACCCTCCTAACCAGATCATTACTCACCAAGTCTGCCCAACTGTTCTTCTCTTTTGGGCTACCCCCACTTATCATTTACTACTTACTCACTATCTTCTGCATATAGGGAGACATTTCTTAGCTACCGTAAATCCTGAGGAAGGGTCATTTGGCTTGAAACGTTAACTGATTTCTCTCCACAGGTGCTGCCAGACCTGCTCAGATTTTCCAGCAATGTTTGATTTACAGCACCAGCAGTCCTTCTGGTTTTTAGTTGGATTAAGGGACCACTTCAGGATGGACTAGTGATAGTCTTTTTGAATTATTAAATCAAGACCCAGGTAACGTCCTGGAGACATGAGTTTGAATCCTGCTCCAGCAGATAGTGAAATTTCAATTAAAAAACTGGAATAAAAAAAGTCTAAATGACCATAACTCCACTGTCAAATGTTAGAAAAATCCATCTGGTTCACTAGTGTCCATAGGTGGGAAGGAAACTGCCATCCTTACCTGGTCTGGCCTACATGTGACTCCAGACCCACAGCAATGTGGGTGACTCTCAACCGCCCTCTGGGAAATTAGGGATGGGCAATGAATGCTGGCCTGGCCAGTGATGTGCTCAGCTTTGAGTGAATTAAGTGCCACAGGAAGCAGTGCGGGGGCCATAATTTATTTACAACATATAAAATGGTAGCGTCCATAAGCCCATTGGACTATAGGTGGTGATTTAACCTGAGAAAAACCAGACCTCATGAGGGGAGAGATGGAGTCATCCTTTAATGGCAAATCCAGCTGGTGGCATCATTCTGCACTATAAATTGACTATCCAACGAAATGAGCTAACTGATCCCCTTACAGTACGTATTGATGACTGTGATGAGGATTACGGATGACAAAAATAGTGGGGAGGCAAGTGCTAAGGATGACAGTCTGCACAGGAATATAGACAGGTTAAGTGAGTGGACTAAAACTTGACAGATGGAACATAATGCAGGGGGAAATGAGGTTGATGAACTTTGGCAAGAGGAGCAGAAGGCAATAGAACAAGGGGGATTTATAGAATCCCAGAATCCCTTCGGTAGAAAGAAGTCTGCACTGATCCCTCCAACAGCATTCCATCCAGACCCAGCACCCCCACCCTCTCCCTGTAATCCCACCATTTACCATGGCTAATCCACCTAGCCTGCTTGTCCTTGGACTGGAGGAGGAAACTGGAGTGCTTGTGGAAACCCAGACATAGGGAGAACATGCAAACCCCACACTGGCAGTCACCCAAGGCTGGAATCAAACCCAGGTCCCTAGCATTGCTGCCTCAGTGCCAATTGCCGAGCTGTCATGCTGCACAAGGTTTTGGAAATCCTTGATCAGGAATCACCAAAAATAAACTAGCATCCTAGTTCAACAGGTAATAGGCAAGTGGAATTTTAGCCTTAATTATTTCAAAAGGAGTGGAGTATAAAAGCATGGAAGTCTTGCGAAAACTGCAAAATCACTAGTCAGACCAAAGTTGGAATACTGAACAATTCTGGGCCCCTTTCCCAAGGAAAATATATTGGCATTGGAGGCAGTCCAAAGGCAGTTCACTAGGCTGATACTGGGTATGGAGGGACTGTCTGATGAGGGGTTCA